CCTTTCTTGCTGCTTTTTCCTGCCTTTTCGCATGGCTACACTCGGCCTTTCCAATAGAGTTTTTTCCATCGTACCGACCGCGCCTACCTTTCTGACTCGACCTAACTATGCCAAAATTACAAATATATCCAAAAGCGTGACGCAATTAACTCGCGCCCTGATTGGTCAATACCTGCTGACCTGCGACACTGACTGGATCTGTCGCACGATCAGACCGCCTCTCGCCCTCGCGATTGGACGTAAGGTAAACATTTCTGCCGAGCACGAAACGCATCGATTGGCTGCAAACAGCCAGCAGATACTTGATTATTGCGCAAAACCTGTCGTATGTACTGCAAATCGGGCACAGTAACCACTTTATTTTCTTCTCGAGATGCACACTTCTCAAATAGAGATATTTATCATTATTAATGTAGACTTCACAGACCAGTATTTTGTAAGAGCTCTGGGATGTTATTTTCCACACACTTTTCAAAGTAATGACGATATTAATAGTACTAATATGCTTAATATAAGCTTCACAGGCCGCATTTGTAAGAGCTCGGCGATGCTATTTTCCACACATTTTCTAAAGTAGAGACGATAGTATTTTTAATATTAAAGTAGACTTCACGACCAGCGCTTTTTGTAGCGACTTTGCGAATATATATATTTTGTACTTTACCTGGAACTCACCACTGCCACCGTGCAATGAAGGCGCGCAGCTGCACGGGCATTTCGCTATCTGCTCCCGTGCACCACACCCGACAGATGCATGCGCGCACGATAGATAATTGTCTTAGGCAATTTAAATTGCATGTAAAGTATGTTTTTGTTTGGAAATCTGATAATAATATATTATAGCAAAGCCAAAACGTTAGTATCAACTTTTTAATATGTTTCTAAATAATAAATACCAGCCTTATATTTCCAAGCTATTGGCTAATATTTGGACGCAAGTAATTGGTTAAAACAATATATGTTGCTAACTTACTCACAGTTTGCAAAATGGTGGGCCCTACGTGCAAGCAATGCGAGGCGAAGATTGACCCGCTTCTGCTGAACCCGCAGCGGTCTACGACGGATTCCCGAGAGCGCTGCGTCTGCTGCGGGAAGCTGCAGTACGGCTACGCATTCCGTACAATCAGCGGACGGGACATCGTGCGGCGCTGTATTGCCTGCGAGAGCGGCCCAGAAGCGGTTAAGCTCTGGGAGAAAAGCTTCCCCACCTGGATCGGCCGAAGTGCGCCGCCAGGAAAGCCTGTCAAACGTCAAGAAGGCGATGGGTCCTGACTGGTACCCCAAGAAGAAAAAAGAGGCGCAGCCGCCCTCGCAAGCTGACCGCCGAAACGCCAAGTACATCGAGCAAAAGAAGCAGCAGAAGAGCAAGTAATTGGTAAATATACCCTTTATGGCCTCCATGTTTCTACCTATCTTTGTATTTAGTATATTGGCTACAGTGCGAGCCTTGGAGCCGATTAGACGGAAAACTGTCTATGATGCTGCCAATTGTGTTGATGCACCTACAGAGCGTAGCGCGTTTCATGTAATAATTAGCGCATGGTATCTACTGCGTACCCTTGCAAGCTGGCCATTCCTATCTGCATACGCGTTACCGTAGATAAAAATACACTTGCTCACTTGGCACACGCAAACCCATGCTATCTGTACCACCAACCCTCACAGTTTATATTTCACTAATATGCGCTCACGAATGTAAGCTTCAGTATTGAGTGAGCACTATGCGCGATGAATATGCTGCTGTCTACATGGACACAAGCACGTTTATGGTAGTGTTGACCATACAGGTGTCGTCGCAAGTCGATGTGCCTGTACGCAGTACTGTATTTTAGTTTCCTGTGTATAATGGTCGAGACGAGAGTCCGGTTGAGTCGCGAATGATTATAAGATGTACCCGCCGCGCGCATATTTCGCGTTGACTACTACCTACATACGCGCGGTCAGCTTGCCTATATCACCGCGGTTATGACCTACGTCCAGTAAGTGGCGCGCTTGGGCATATAGACTGATCCATCAGAAGCGTAGGCGCAGAAAGCTAGCACCACGATGCAAAAGTACCGATAAGAAAACAGGGACCCCATGCATAGGTTAAGTATCTTGAGCGCGTGGCAAATACACTCATTAACGACCTCGCGCTATATGCACGGACACATCAAATAGCACGCCGAGCGGATAAGTAGGCAGCGAAAGTACTCCATCTAATGTACACGAACTATTATTCAAATCAAGTCTAAGCATCACTACGATCTGATACTCTGCCTACAGCCATATATCTTCGTATGTTTGCCGTATATATCAGACCCAGTATAATGTCAGTCAGAAAGAATTTACGCCACTTTGTCAGTCAGTAGCTATGCCAATAAGTCAGAAAGTACGTCAGCTATGCAAGTAAGATAAATTCATGCGGAAGATAGTGGAAATACCCTTCAGTAACATCACAAACAGCTCAGCAGAATAATTTCAAAGCATAATATTGATGTTTGTGGCGACCATCGGCATATACTACCTATCCTAAAAGATACTTCGCGCGAGGAGCTGATTAACATTTCTCTATTCGACCGTCGCAATCGATGATATGTGTCGACTGACTCACGGCGATGACGTGCAGATGGGTAAAATACGTTTGAGTAGGCGTACTTACTCTAGCTACACTGGGATTCCTCACCGATCAACGTATATTTCGTAGCATCATTGATACTGACCCGTCTTCCGTACAGCATATATTAGCTTTGCAACCACGCGCGCCTCCGATTCGTGTCATTTTGAGAGCAGCGCTCAAACGAGATTATAGACAAAAACTTCCCGGGTAAGACGGTGCTCTTCTTGCAGATCACGTTAAATCCTGGTCATGTCTACAATAACACGTGAGCACTAAGGATACTGTGTGCGGTGCTGTTTTGGAGCATAATATACGTAGATCACAGTATACATGTACTATATGTTGCTTCGCTTTGAGTAGAAATTCTAAACCCACCGCAGCGCAGCGGAGGTAGTCGGCCCTCTCTACACCAACCAACCATGCCCTAGCGTCCGCGGAGCGGGCGCCCAGAGCGCTAGTCTTAAACATCTACTGCAGCAACCTGTCTGTCCGTCACACTAAATTGTCGTGCCTGTCACGCTTTTCCGGACAAATCATTGGATAAAATAATTTAAATATTCCTACTGGCTGCCGAGCGCAGCGAAGGTGGCTTCAATTGGTTAAAACTAGAATGTGTAGTTGACATCAATAAATGCATGTGTTTCCCAGCTAACATATGGGGATTTGCACAAAGCTAAGACATTATCCGAAGGCGGCATCGTTTTAATATTTTATACTTTTTCATAATGCATTGATATTTGAGTACTAAACGGAGGGCAGGGTGCGTAGCGTACACGTAAGCATGCGTGTTTCCGAGGACATGGTTTAAGTATACTAAATACTCTGTACTCAGTAGGATCTGCGAGTTACACTGACTAAAATGATAATTTCAATTTTTTTATTGTAAAGATATTAGCATTATTAATAATAAGCTATCTGAGTGGGTTTCTGGTATTGCTAAATCGTACATGTTACATGTACAGCAGTAGCCGGTCGTGTGGGCTTGCCGTAAGAACAAAGCTGTGCTTATAAACGTTGTCACTAGATCCACAAAGATAGATAGCTTAGATTGACGTGGAAAAGAAGTAATATGTGCTGATGACAATTACTACTGTATTGTTTCCTAAGCGTTTATGTAGACAACAAAATTCTGATACTTCTTAATAGGCAGACGCGTTGCCGACAAGGCGTAGAATAAGGTTTTACATGCAGCGGTAAGATAACAACACAACATGAGAGGTGTAAATTATGGTTATTATAAGTAGGCCCGTAAAGAAACGTTAATCAACTTAGAGCCTAATATTTTGGAATCATCAATTAAGTATCAAATAAAAATACCGCCGTCAACAACAACAACAGCAAGGCGTCTTGCGACGCATGGTTATATTCAAAGGCTATAACCATAACAGGCACAGATTGGAGTGTCTAATGACTAATTCTGAATCAGCACAAAATGAACACACTTCAAGGCATAAAAAAATGCTACAGCTTGAATATTTTTATTAAATATTCAAACTGTAACACTTTTAATTTTCTTTCAAAGTAGCGAGTTTGGTTTGCGAAGTGGTTAATAGGCAGTTTATTACAAGCTTAACCAGGCAGTACAAGCGGGTATTTGATGCAAGCTGGACAGATATTCTTTGCATTGATGCAATCTAGGTTTCAGAAACGGCCCGTGAAATCGATCACGACGCTAAACTAAATATATTATTTAGCGTTTTTAGACTGAAGTGCAGGTGCTTCTGGGTGGAAGATTAAGGTACAGTGATCGCCAACAACAACAAAGAGACTTTGCCAAGATCACTAGCGTAATCGTTTATGAGCATGGTAAGTATGATGCTAGGGTCTCAGTCTTTTGTACCGGTAGAAATATTTACACGGCTTACTGGGAGCTCAGCAATTTGTAGCAAAAGAAACGCAGATTTATGAAATTAAAGAAGTCGATTTAGGCACATGAGGATTTGGACTAATTATCCCGCCAAAGCGAAGCGAAGGCGGGAAGGCAAAAATCTAGAGTAAAACCTAAATTACCGCCGCGTAGCGGCGGCGCTCGGCTAGTACTGTAAAAAGGGTAAGAGCACAAGTAAATACTAGTTGCATGATTATAGAGGGGGCTTCGCCCCAATAACAGAACAATTAGCCGACGCCAAATCATTGTTTAAGTTTAAATCGGAAGTGTACCTACATTTGACTGACGGATAATAAAACAAGCATGAGAGAGCAAACTGTACCAACTATTGGCATATTACTGACGTTCAAGTCCTATCTTGCCACGGCAACGTGTATCCAATCAGACGAACATTAAGATGTCATGACAGGGTCACGCTTGAATCTTTCTCGAGCCACTCTCAGACTACTGTAATAACACTCCTTCGATATCGTTTGACTAGCGAAATGAAAGTCAAATAGTCACTCTGCAACTCGCCTCCAAGTCCTCGAGACTCTCCACCGACATGAACATCCTTCAGCTCTTCGCATCGGCCGCAGCAGCTCTTACTGTCGCGCATGCCGATGTGATTTCACACGATGCAGTCATCCCGTTCGCCCAACCCACAACCACCACTACAACAGAGCAGAAGGCTGGTATCAAGTTCAAGCCCCAGATCCACATCTCGAACGGCTGCCACCCGTACCCTGCAGTGGATGCAGACGGCAACACCAGCGGCGGTCTAAACCCTACGGGATCCTCCAGTGCAGGGTGCAAAGGTTCCGGATACGGCAGTCAGATCTACGGCCGAGTCGCCACGTACAACGGCGTGTTCGCCATCATGTACTCGTGGTATTTCCCTAAGGACTCACCGCTCACGGGGCTGGGGCACCGTCACGACTGGGAGCACGTGGTCGTCTGGGTCGACGATATCAAGCTCAACAGTCCGTCGGTCATTGCCGTGTCACCGTCTGCTCACAGTGGCTACAACATCTACCATCCGCCCGAATCCAACACGATCGACGGCTACAGTACCAAAGTGGACTATTCGTCCAGCTGGCTAGTCATCAACCACGCGTTGGACAGCACGACGGATGCTGGAGAAACCCAAAATCTGATCATGTGGGACCAACTCACGGATGCAGCACGAACGGCGCTGGAGAATACCGACTTCGGCGACGCAAACGTCCCCATGAAGGATGGCAACTTCCTCACGAAGGTTGGCAATGCCTACTACGCCTAGTAAATGACGGACATTTATTTGGTTTAGTTTTTTTTAGTGATCGAACCAGTGATTTATCGTTAAAAAGCTATGAATTGAGTGCTAGCATGTCCCCTTTTCGTCATGTGAACGTTAGTAGCGGTATTAAGTCAAACAGCAGTCCTACCTCGAAAGTTGATGGTGTTTATCGCTCGTTGTTTCTTTTACTGAGCGCATTTGAGAACCGGCAACTCCATTGAACGAAATCCCACCGAACAACGCAGCGTTGCCTGCGCCTTTATCCGGAAGTCCTGCGAGATTTTGTATCCAGCTTCTCTCTTTCGTATAGGCACAGAAACACAGTTGAAACGATTGAACATCCGCCCGCCGAATGCGTTGGAGGCTCAGTTGTCGGCGCTACAGTTGGTGTCGTCAACCCGCTGATGCAGTGGTGGCAGTGGGTGTTTATACGTCTGAGCGTATAAACACCTCAAAAGACTGTCTAAACTGGTGTTTAAACGGTGCATTAGACACGGTACAGTGTACCCAAAAGAGCTCTTTACTTTGTAAGATGCCGAATAGAAGACCCATTGGAAGGATGAGCATTTTTGCTACCTCAACTAAATCAAGTTAGCAAAACGAAGGGCAGTTTTCACACCGGTAGAACCAAATAAACTGTTTAAACGTCACTTGTGTCTTTAATCAGACAGAACTACTTGAAAATATTCAGATGTGGACCACGCGACCATCATGTACGCCACATGAACTAAATACTATTTTAATTAAAGCAAGGCTTTTTTGTGTTGCTTAGATATTCAATCTGACAGGTTCTTCAACGCTGCACAGTCGCCTCAGACCAAGCAGCAGCCTTCAACCACTACGAATCTATGCCACGCACTTGACCCCCAACGGCACAATCGCCGCTATTTATTCCCATTCCACATTTACCGAGCAAGGTCTCAAGCAAACCTCAGTCATGTCCGTCAAGTTCCTGAACCAAGGAGCCACGATCAACGAGATCGTCGTCGGTGGCCGCAACATCGTGCTGGGCTTCCCCACCCCCGAGCTCTACGTCGAGCACTGCGGTCCCCACTTCGGAGAGACCGTGGGTCGTGTCGCCAACCGCGTCTCAGGCGCCAAAGTGGAGCTCAACGACAAGTCGTACGACCTGATTGCCAACGACGGCGTCAACTCGCTCCATGGTGGCAACACGTGGGGACTCAAACCTTTCGAGGGCCCCACAGCTGTCAAGAATCACGAGGGCAAAGACGCAATGCAGTACAAACTCGTGAGTCCCGACGGAGACTCGGGATTCCCCGGAACTGTCGAGCTCACAGTCACATACACACAAAGGACCAGTAGGACCGAGAACGACAAGGAACTCGTGGAACTCGAGATCGAATACGAAGCGGAACTTGTCGGTCCCGAAGACGTCAAGGAGACGGCCATTAACATCACAAACCACAGCTACTTTAACCTCTCGGGTCGTGAAACTATCGACGGTACCGAGGTGACGCTGGCCTCGGACCAATATTTGGTGCCAGACGAGGGAAATATTCCCACTGGGGAGGTCGAGACCTTCCCGGGAATTAAAGCCAATCAGGCGTTCACACTCGGGGTCAAGGAGCCCAATGTGGACCACTGTTTCCTCATGAACCAGGACTCCAAGAGCATCCCGCTCGACACGCGAAAGCTGCCGCTCCAGTTGCTTGTTACAGCCGACCACCCGGACACTAGGATCCACCTTCAAGTGCTAAGCACAGAGCCCGCTTTCCAGTTCTACACGGGCTTCTGGAACGACGTGCCGGCCGTTGCGGGACAGCCCGCACGTGGCTCCCGTTCGGGCTTCGCCGTCGAGCCTGGTCGCTTCGTGAACGCTATCAACACGCCCAAATGGCGCAACCAGATGCTGCTACCCAAGGGCGAGAAGTTCGGCAGTCGCATCGTTTACCGCGCTTGGGCAGCGTAGGCGGACTTGGATACGATCCGGGATGGACATGAGTCGTCGTTGGACCGGAAATTACCTTTTCGTTTAGTTTTTCTTATGATTAAGTGCATCTTCGACCTCTACAGTAGTTTTCACTATTGATATCGTGGGATCTTGGATTTGCCGTACCTCCCACTGCTGTACACAATTTGGTCTTTGAAGCTGATGGCGTGCGTGATAGCACTGGTTGGTGGACTATTAAATCTTCGCTCGAGTTGGCGGCATCTCATGATTATCTGGTAAGAATCGTTCGTGCGTCGATCTAACGCACTCGGGACAAACTATTAATACAGTATTAAAACCGCTGCAGAATACAATTTATTTGAGACGATGCTAGCTAACATTTTTGAGTTTTTGAAATAATCAATTTTACATCTGGCCCTTCGTTTTCGCACTTAAGTGATTTTCGCAGGAGAGGGAATTTTGTCAAATCTCTAAATTTAGAGGAGGTGTATCAATGGAAAGCGGCCGCAATGGAGGAGCTCTCAGACACCGCCACGACCTCAGAGAATGACACTGTAGTAGCTCGCGACGAAGAGCACAGTGACACTAGCGGCAGAAGCAAAGACGCCAGTGAAGATGGCGAGTGGGGTCCAGACTCGGAGGATGAATGCTCGTGCGGTAGCGAGATCTTAACAAGCGACAGAGAAATTGACGGGGATTCCAGTACAATGGCTAGTAGCATCAATTTGAATGACGGAGATCTTCGTGAGATCGTCACGCGTCTTATTCGAGAGGCCCCTGTGACAAGAAGTGCTTGGAGGGGAAGGCCATAGAGTTGGAGCAGTTCCTGTGTTCGCTATCGCAAATGACAAGTGGGGAGAAGAAGCAGAGCATGCCGTAACAGTCCGAACTCAGCTGTAGTGGCCCAGGATCCTCGCCGCGAGTACGACGGTATTACTACGGACGCTACCCGCGTACACGTCCTACTAACAGTGCACATAGAGATTTTGCCAAACCCTTCTCCGAATTCCGAGAAGATCCACAGTAAGTTCCGCCCATTTGTTCCTGAAAAGTTCCAAAATGACCCATTGTACGACCCGCCGAACGATAAAGACACGCGCAGAGCAAAGCAGATTAAAAAAGATCGTCAGACTGCGTTCAAAAAGAAGAAGAGAGAGCGCGAAGGTGCCGCCGCAGCAGCAAAACGTGCATATGAGACTGACGGAGTGACGGAGACTGCCGAAGAGGTCTTACAAACGGATGGAGGATATGACCAGAGAGCTGTCCCGGCTGGTAGCTAGATTGCTGACGGGAAGTCGGTGTCGCGCACCAAGAAACGCCCGCAAAGAAACGGGATAATCTTTGTCTACTGTAGAACACGAGTACGATTTTCAAGCGTAGCTTAAAATGATTATAGTTGCCAAAAATGTCCAAAAACAAAATATACGTCCGATTTTGAAAATTCAAAACTCTAGTACCAAATTTAACACAGAAGGACAGCAAATTGAGCGCTTTAAATGGCACCAATCGGTCCCACTTGAAATTTTGCATTAAGCTGGCCAATAAAAAGTTTTGAAAATTTTTCAGCAAGTCCGAGGCAACTTTTTCAGAGTCGCTTTTCTCAAAAACAGCTTAATGACATTTTTTTAGGACCCTCATTATATCGAGGAGGCGTCCGGCTTTTTAATGTCGCGCGGAAATCGCACTTCAACAAATGGTAACTAGCATCAGTTTGTTTTAAGGGGTCTCAAATGCAAACAGGTGATGCCACTGTAAAATGAAGAAGCTGCGATGACCACAATTTTATTTGAATTGAACCGAAGACAGTACGTAATTTGTTTTTTTAGGAAACTTGCTAGTACAGTACGTCTGCTGCAATGATCGACATAGGCGAAACGATGGCGGTTTGAAGTCGACGGGACCCCCCAGTGCCGGATGCAAGAGCTCCGGTTGGAGTGGCTGCAACTTAAAGATTTAAATAATCTGTTGCGGGAATACTGAATGACATGTTGTCCCTAAACCTACTAAATACCAAATTCTGTGGTACCTGATATCCAAATCTGAATGCCTGTTGTGTGGATTAGGGTAGATGGATCAACAGATTTTTAGAGCTAAATATCTGTGACTGGAATTAAGTCATCTTGCGACTGTTCAAGATTGTTTTTTGTGCTGGTTTCAACAAGGACTCGTTTTTTAGTTTGGATTCAGACTCATAGCTAATATTCAAAGAAATCGGCTTCTTTAGAGAGTGACTCCAGCTTTACAGATCAGCTATTGTTTTTGAGCACAATCTGATGGTGCGAAATATGAGAAACAACACGAGCCGATATGTCAAGGCCTTCGATAGCTGAGCTACCTGGCGTACCCCGGCGCCCGTCTGGTGAGACGTAAATCCGGTATCAGTAGGGGTAATCGAGCATTTTAATTTTGACCCTATCGTGGCAAAAGGGCGAAAATATCGCCCTTTTACAAAGAACGGTATTTCTTACTTTACTCTAGTCAGATTCATGCATCAGATTGCATCATCGCCACAACGAAAACCGTGGTTAAGTTAAATGGTAAAAAAGACGTCTTTTTAACAGGACTTTTTATTTGTAAACTTTAAAATGATTTAGGAATAAATTTAGAGATTGCATACCCTCTTATGGTAGTTTTAAGTGAAATATCTTGGTAGCAGAGGTAAAAAAGAAGACAGGTAAATTTATCCCGCTGCGTACAATGCGAGATAAACTTTAACGAATGGATGTAAGTTATATTTGGGGACGCTCGCGTGACCCACGGGCGGACACGGAAGGTAACATTTCTTTTAGGAGTGTCTACTTGCAAAAAAGGTTTTAATCTTAAACACACGAAGATATCCTAAGCTTCCAGAAATTTACTTAGATGAGAGCTATTGCAACGTAAATCATGTTGCGAGATCGACGTGGTTGCTCAAGAACTTTCCTCGATATACAACAAGCGGCAAGGGTCAGCGATATTGCATTGTCGGTGCTGGTGCAGTGTACACGAAGAGCGGAAAGTTGCATGCAGAGTGGGTCCCCGACTCTCTCGAGGTTTGGCCATCTCACTACAAGGCCAGTGACGCCGATTACCACGGCAACTTCAATGGCGAGCTTTTCAATCAATGGTTTGAATGACTGTGTGCTGTTCTACACCATTTCCCGGCCAAGTTACCAGTTTTACCAACCATCGTGCAAATGGCCCGTTCTTGTGAGATCTAATTTAAGGCTGTGTGGAGACACACCATTTTTAATTTTAGGCTACGGTATTTGGCGATTTGCAAGAAAAAGCCACTTTTCCCACGGCTTGGTCTGGTTGAATTTACTAACATGATATTCACTTTGCCTCTGTGCACTGGCAACTCCGACTTCAAAATCCAGCAAATACTGATCACCATAGATAAAATAGTACTTCTGTGAGTCAGCATTTTACCAATGCTGACGTTTTCTCCGCAAAATTTCCTAGGATTGCTTCAAAAGTCCAGGATACCGCCTGGATGTTAATGGTCAGGCCATTGGCTACCTTAATACTCGAATATTTCTTGACGTATGATTGGTTACCGACCGAAAGCTTTCAGGCTGCCTATTTCTTTTAAAACCTCAGGCCCTCAAGCATACAAACCCAGAACAAATCTGTGTCATGCGCGTGACGTGTGGCCTGGCCACTGCAATGATGATTGCTCTCCTAGACATTGAAATTACAATGGCGAACGAAGCGAGCCCTCCTGTCTCCACGATGAGGCCATTTAATGGGACTCACACGTCGGCTGCTGCGACGCTGGTCCGGTGTTAGCGACAAACGATTGCTGCGCAGTCACCCACCAATCAGGACCGAAAACGATAACGAGTCCGATAGTATCCTTGACAGTGAAGACAGTGAAGCAATCAATTATTCTCTGACTTTCATAGCCAGAATCATACCCGGCATCGTTACGAGATCAGAGTAGTTTTACTAGAGTTGTTTGATAGCTATACTCGATAGATGCATTCTCGATCGATTTTTTTGTGTTTTGAAATACTGATTCATCTTATTCAAAAGTACTTTTGGTGAAGAACTCGCCACTATCAGGATTTTGTATCATTGCTTAAAAGGCCATCATCGGAGCACGAAGATTAACCAAGTAGCATCTGGAACCGATCGCGTGATGCAAGCAGAGTTTGTAGATGGTAGAATCAATCGTCCAGAAAAATCTTACTCCAGCTTTAAAGCGCTACGTCGGATAGACCCTTCAAGTCTTTCACTCCTCAGAATGCTCGTTCGATAGTCCACAAAATTTGTTTTGCAGAACAGGCAGTGGACCCCCAACCTCCTCCTCCTCGGAGCGCCGTTATTATCATCCTAAGACTACTGAGGAGCCGTGCCTTCCTCTCAAAAGCCGACTGCTGGAATGATAATCATTGTAGTCTTTCTGTGTAAAAATACGTTCCTTCTTTGAAAATTGCAAATCTCCCGTGGCCATTATTTCCAATCAAAACTATGACGTATTATTCCGTAGCATCTAGACTAGATTCTAGTACCTGTACACTATGGAGGATACTGGTCAGTGCTGGCGTACCCGGTATTTTTCCGTGGTCGTCTGTATATTTGTGCCCAACAACTTGGCGGAGAAATCAAATATAGCGAATAGAGAGTTTTCGTTGGCCATTCTCATCACCTTTACCCCCAAAAGATATTTAAAACATGAAGTTGCCCTATTCTACACCTTGAAAGCTGCAGATGTAATGACTTTGTATCACGGCCACCCACTGGCACACTGCCTCTACTTCCGCTAACCCTTTCACTTTTGCTTTATTAATGACAGAACCAACCAAGCGCAAGAAATTCAGCGAAGCTGAAGATGTCATGCTTTTGAAGCAGACAATTGCGGACCACCCATACCGACAGGAGCACGGCAAGGTCATGGAGCAGTGGGAGAAGCTTGCTGAGGCACTGGTTGCTTCACCTAGCTTTACACGCAAAAACCCTACCGTAACAAATTGCTCAAAATCGCATCAACACGCTTATCAGTAAGTAGATCTTTTTGTTTGCCTACCTACAGAAGTTCCTTGCAATTTACTTGTGTGCTAGATGCCGCTAATAAGATGGATGAACTCATTTTACTGATGGATAAGTGCAAGGCGGAGAAAGTGGCGAACAAAACGAAAAAAGAGGAGGAAAATGCAACCAGCGAGAGCGCCAGTGAAGCCATTTGCCGTATGACTGTCGAGTGACTTAAACGGCCATGGAACGAAAATGATGATGGTTCATCCGACAGCCCCTCCCGAAACAGCAATTTTGACAAAACTTGCTGAGATTTTTAAGGCTAAAAATGAACAGGAGCATACGATGCGTCGAGAGCAGTGGGAGCGAGAGCGCGACGATAGGCGCGCTCACGAGAAGCGTTTCATGTTGATGCTGGAGCATCTAGCTAACATACAGCAGTAAATTGAACTTCGGTTAGCTCATAAAATCTTAAATTGACGTTTTTTTGTATTCCTCCAGTGCTGGAGGTGCTACACCGAAGAACTGACTGATCTGGCTACCCTTATAATAGCAGCAATGGCAGTTTGGTAATAGTATAGCAACTCGTACCAATTTACCTACAGGACTCAGACGCATCTTGAAGTCCTCCTTGAAATGGATAAAAGCCCAGAGACGTTTCATGACTCCAAAGTGCGGTTAGAACAGCACTCATCTCACGGTTGAAAATCCTTGCGTGAGCTGACAATACGGCGTCCTTGAAGCGCGTGGCGACAAAGTCGCTAACAGAATAGACGGGGTCACCAAAGACAGCCCTGCCTCCGAATACGTCAGCATTTTCACAAGAAGCTGCAACAATTTGCTTGCAACAAACGCAGAAGTGTCGTGTCTGCGTCCTTCAAATGGCCCGAAGAAGTGAGCGCATAGTCTCCGGAGAGCTTCGTCCTGGGTAAATTACATTGCCACTGTCAGCTGAAATTTGACTGGATGGCTTGGATTTTTCCGGCTGTGGTATAATTGGCTGTTAGACGGTTGGTTGTCACCTTCACATCTGACCGCAAGTCTGAAGGAAAAGTGAAGGTGAAGATTGACACGAAACCTCTCTAATATTTCCAATATTTGATAATCGCGTTGTTGAAGCTGCAAAGTCGCGCGTATCTTCATTGTCGTCCGAATGTTGCGTGACTGTAAATCAAACAAACTGTACCCACGCTATAGCGATCATTCACAACAAGATGTCGACATCACCTACGCAGCTTGTTGTGGGCGTCGAGGGCGCCCGCGACCTCCTCGTGGGGGATCTGAACGGCTCCAGCGACCCGTTCGTGCAGCTATCGGTACTAGACGCCAAGGGGAGCCCCCTGGCGGCTGCAGGAACCCACAAGACGCGCGTGGCCAAGCGCACGCTGAGTCCGGAATGGCACGAGACGTTCACTCTCGGCTCTCGCAGCTTCGACCTGCGCTTAGCGACGACGTTGCGCTTTATGGTGTTTGACTTCGACGGACTTAAGCGAGACGACGTCCTGGGCGTCGTGGACGTGCCGCTGGACATGATTACGTGCGACGCGGAGCCCATGGACGACTGGTACCGTATCGTCAAGGTGCCGGATGTAATGCGAACCGACGCCAAGGGAGAACTCCACTTGACGTTCAGTAGACCCGCAGCTCGAGTCAAAGCCAAGTCCGTGGCCTCCGAGAGCCCCAACTTGCTGTACGTGACGATCGACTCGGGCAAAGATTTGCTGCCCATGGACCGCAACAACAGCAGCGATCCGCTCGTCAAGTTGTCGGTCGTGGGGCAACGTCATCAAACGGAAACCGTGGCCAAGACGTTGAAGCCTCATTGGGACGAGCGCTTTGCCTTCCTTCTGCGTGACGCACACACGACGTTGGAGCTGCTGGCCGAAGACGAAGATCGAACGATTAACGACTTTTTGGGCCGAGCGCAATTGGTGCTGGCCGATGTGGTGGAGCCCCATGAGGAGAAGACAGTGACGGTCACTCTTTTGGATCGAAAACTGCATCCGGACAAAGACCGAGGCACGCTGAAGCTCCGACTGCTGTGGGTGTACGACCCCAACGCTGAGAGTATCACGAAAAGTGCCAAGAAGAAGAAGGACAAGTCCATTTTACAGTCACTGAAGCAGTCCATGCGCGTGAGTGCGCCTGCAGGTCCGTACGATTCGGACGACGAGCTGAACGACGAGGACGACGAGGTGCTGGATGTCGAGAGCGACGAGGAAGTGGACGCGTCGTCACTCCCGCCCGCCGCACCAGGAACGACGCGACTGAACTTCGCAGTAGCAACGATCCACCGCGTGGAAGACTTGCCACCGATGGACTCGCTGCTGTTCGACAAGGGGGAGAACCGCAAGCACAGCAAAGGAGGTATCGACGTCTACGTGGCTGCAGCTTTAGCGTCCGAGCCAGAGGAGTTTGTACGCACACGTGTGCGTACAAAACATGGACGACGGGACCAGTTAAACGCAAACTTCCGCGAGAGTTTGATGCTGTATCTGCCCGACACGAAGGAGACGCACAATGCGATTTTCAACGTCATGGATTGGGATCCCGTGGGCGGCGACGAAGTGGTCGGGAGATTCGAGCTCCGGAACGTCGAAGCAGTGGCCAAAATCCACGAAAAGCGGCCCTTCTGGGTCAATCTGTACGGCGCCCCCGTCAAAGGAGCGAGTAACAACAGTCGGGCGGCGGAGCTCATGAACGAGAATGAAAATCTGGCGTCTGCGTATCGTGGACGTGTGCTCATGACGCTGCGTATCCGAGCCAAGTCTTCGGATTGTTACGAAGCCAAACACCAGAAGCGATTGGCCCCCAAGCTGCCCATTGAGAGCTTCCCGGAGAGCTGCGTGTACCGCATGCGAGCTCACTTTATCCAGGCCGTTGGGTTGCCGTCTGCTGTGGCCAATATGAAGCCGAAACTGTCGCTCGTCTTGTCCTGTGGTCTGCGTCAGATCGCGTCGACGCGGAAGAGCGCAGTGAACGGGAGTATCAAGTGGAACGAGACGGAGGAGAGCGACAAGATGCTCTTCCCCGTGGATATCAACCAGGTCCCGCATGTGTTCTTGTACTTGTGCGAGAAGGACGACGACAACCGTGTCGCCATCTGCTACATACGCTTCAGTGCCAAAGAGCTGCTCATGTCGCAGTTTGAACGCGAGACGGAGTGGATTCCTCTGCTTGGAGATCGCGCTGTGGCCAAGGCCAAGCCACGGGATGAATTTACCGGTAAGGTGATGGTACGTCTCGGTTTTGGCTCCATCGAAGCAGCCACAGCACAATCCTGGGACCAAAAGACCATGATCGATTGCGTGAATCGCCACAAACCCTATCAGGTGCGTGTTCGTCTGTATGAAGCCAGGAACTTGGTGTCGCTACACGACAGCACCAAGACGATCGTCGCGAGTGCCACGATTCAATGCTGGGATGGCTGTCACAAGACGCTGGAGAAGGATGCCAAGCAACAGGAACCTTCCACGTCTCCAGTGTGGGCGCAAACGTTCTGTATGGACGTGAATCTACCGCATCTGCAGTACGCGCCTCCCGTGTTGATCCACGTGAGGGAACGAGAATCCGTGCGAGTACATTGGCACAGCAGCCATCAAGCTGTCGAGTGCTGATACCAGTGATGACAGCGTGACGCTGTGTACGTCTCAGGAACTCAAGCAGAACGAGCGTCCACAGCAGCCCAAGCCCAAGTGGCTCTCTGTGGGTTTCACTGGAGGACGACGAAGAGACGCTACACGGTCAAGTTCTCGCTTCGGTTGAGCTCATTCGCAAGGCCTTTCCCGATGAGACTTTACCGGAGCCAGAAGCGCTGGATGAAGTCCACATGGACGTGTAAGGGTGCAGCAAAAGGAGGGTAAGTTGCTGGAATGAATGTTGCGTCTTGCTTTAAGTTGCCAATCTACACCAGAAGCGACGTGACCAGACCGTTGCCGTACGAGCGGTCGATCTGCACGACGCCGTTCGCCACCAGCGAGTACAGCGCGCGTATGACTACACCGTTGCCGTGCGGTCTTCCGTGGTCTTTGAGGACTGTACTGGCCTCCTGCTTGAGTTCATTTACTCCCATCTCGCCGTCGTGTTCGTACAGTAAATGCAGCAGCACAGCTTCTTCTCGTAACGAGGGCGGGTTGGTGTCTCTCGCGGTCAAGAGCTGCACGTCCACCATGTGGCGCATCTTGCGTTTCCGTCTGGCCAGCTCCAGTCTCAGCGAGTCCACGTGAGCTTGTACCGTGGCTCTCTCCTTCTTAGCCTCAGCTACTTCTTCTTTCAGCATGGGCAAGTCTCGAACGTTCTCGTCCAAGTTCTCCTCCGTCTCTTCCGCTGCGATGATCTCTCTCTGTAGTGCATCCTTCTCGTCTTTCAACTCGTTTAACACCTGCTCTCTAGCTGTTGCAGTGGCGTCTGCTTCGACGTCCACACTCTTCGTTTGTCTCTTCTTCCTCTCTTCTGCAAGCAACGCCTGGCGTCGCGTCTTCTTCCTCTGTAGTGAGCTGATAGCGGCCTCAATGTCTCGCTTCTCCTCTGCGCGGAGAGCTACAGCTTCTTGCAGCTCAGATATCTCCACTTGCGCTTCTTGTTCCTCTTCTTCGTCGTCTTGTTCTTGTTCTGAGTCGTTGCGTTCTTCCTGTTCGGCCTCGTCCGCCTCGTTCTCCTCCTTCAGAGCTTGGAGTTCGACCTCGCGCTCGGCTACGCGTTGCTCTATTGTCTGCATCTGCTGCTCCCACGCCGTCTCCTCATGCGCAAGTTGAGTCTCCAGTCGGCTCTGTAAGGCCAGTTCATCTGTTTTTCTCGCCTTCTCCTGACACAGCCGAACTGTGTCGGACAGGGCCTCGAAACGGCGTTTAAGCCGGTCGCACCGCTCGATCGCCTCTGACGACCCGTTCTTCTCGTCAATTTCGAGAGCTAATCGATGAAGTTTTGTAGGCCACGTGTCCTGATTGCCGTAAACGTTCGCTTTCGCCGCGTAGGCTGCACTAGAGACGAGCGAGTAGAGCGAACGGGACGGAATGGATGGCGACTTTGAGACAGGCCTCCGAGGCTTAGAAGATGAGCTAGGGGCCTGTAAAGGTACTGATACGTGAATCGACGGAGTGCGGAACAGACAAGACCCGATGGAGGCGCCTAACTCGCGGAGATCGTCCGCACACAGCTCGAGACGGCGAGCATCTTCTTCCACGCGACGACGCTTCCTCTCCGACATCAGCAATAGAAAATGTGGCGCACAAAATAAATGCTTTTTAGTTTTACCGGTAACTAAGATGCTAAAAATATCACAGGAAAGAGTACAGTTGCGAGGTGCAATTGACGATGACGCTGTCGTCGCCGTCCCCCGGCGAGCATGGGGCTGGCCCCGACGCCGTTATCCGCATGCAGTTCGACACTGCGATCGCCAAGCTTCTAGTGGCTCAAACAGACCAGCTCCGTGTGCTGGGGGACTCGCTGCGGGACGCGTCCACCGCCATGTTGCACAAACTCCAGGACCAGGTATGCTCCCAGGTGAATGAAACCAGCGCCGCCCCGCCTAAGCCAGGCCTCCACGCCATGATAGACGAGCTGTTCGCTCGCCACGAAGTGCAGCGAGGGCTAATCGAGTGGCTGGGGGAGGACGAAGCCCGTAATAGAGCGAGAACTTTAGTAACGGAGCTCCAATTTGACATTCGAACGGGAGACGGCAACGACGCTCGCACGACTCTAAACAAACTACTGCCTCTGTATATGGAAGCTCTAAACGTCCGAGAACTGGGCGAACACGCCATCCCCGTAGCCTCCCCGGGAGGAAAGAAGGACAAGAAGATGCTTGGCAATCTCGTGCTGGGCCGCATGCAGCCGTTTCTGGAACAGCTGCAGATGATGTACTCGGATACTGTCGATGACGGAGATTCCTTCTCAGCTAGCAAGGGCGAGGAATTGAAGGGGACGACCAAGAGACTCAAGGCGGCGCTGTTCGTGTTTCTAAATACTGGCAACTTCGCGTCGCACAATCGCGGCAAACTGACTTTCTGCCAGCAGGTCGAGCTGTGTGGCGCAGTGGGGGCAATGGCGGAGACGCTGCCGGTGGTACTTCACGCCTGTCAGACGGTGAAAACAGGAAAAAAGAGCCTGGCAACGAGACGAGCTCTGCGTGTGGGTGAAAACTGGAACGGAATTAAGAACGATGGTAGATCTGGAATCTAGAACATTTCTAGATTTAGAATCTACCAAATTACCTCCAGAGGGCGGACAGAGCCCTATCGCCGCTTACTATAGACAGCACTTGGCAGACAGCTCACGAGCGAAGTATCAAGCGACGCTCAAGCACATGGAGATGGTGCCCAAAGCGCGCGTTTGTAGACGATGCCCTTCGTGTCGTCGTGACGACTGTGCCGAGTCGCACAGACTCCTGCAGGCTCTACCGTTTAACCCTCTAGCGGTGACGCTGAATTGTCCAGTCCCCAAGAGCTTGTGGCATGACTTTGTGCATGAAAACGACCTGTGCGTCTTCAACCACGGCGAGTTAAAGTCAAAGTCCACACTCCGAGCAGGGAAGCGGATCCTGTGCTGGGCCAAAGCAGAGTGCAAGGACTTTGGCTGTCTGCGATCGCACTCTCTGGCCGAAGTCTGCTGGTTTAATCCGAGTTTTAGGACGGAAGCGTGCTCGCAAGGCAGAGAGTGTCCGTGGAAGAAAAACTGCTGTGCGTTCCACAGCGAATTTCATAAAACCAAGCGCAGTGTACACAAGAACGAGTACGTGGGTGTTGCTGAGCCAATACTGTTTCTAACTCGGACGCTGAAGGCGTTGAAAAAAGGTCCATCGCCTTCTCCACTGAAGACGAAGATCGTGTCGAAAGCGACACCAAATCAAGGCGAGCAGAGCCAAATCTCGAGCTCGGAGCAACAGAAATACACGCGTGTGCTCACGCACATGGAGACGGTGGCAAAGGCGCGACTTTGCACGAACGAAGAGCACTACAAGCCAGGCGGCAATAGCGACGTCTGTGACGAGTCTCACGACCTTTATGAAGCTTTATCTTTAAATCCGCTGGCGATGGTGCTGCCCTGCCTCACGCCCAAGAGCAATCGCGACGATTTCCTGCATCAAAACGGACTCTGTGTGTATTACCACGGCAAGAAACCCGTCCCGAAGGAGTTTCTAAAGACCAAAAACCTGCTGTGCGAGTCACTCGACAAGTGCAAGGACGAGACGTGTGTCAAGTCGCACTCGGTCGTCGAAATCTGCTGGTTCTTCCCGATCTTTCACGTCAATAAATGTCCTCAAGGAGACTCGTGCAAGCGCATGGAAACCTGCTCGTTGTATCACAGCGAATATCATGACAAACGAGACGCGACGATGAACGATACGGTGGGCAACACGGAGCCCGTTTTCTTTATCTCGCGCGCGTATTCCGAGCTGGTCTCGAAGAGTACGAGCTTCCAGAGTCTAAAAGATGTGGACGACGACAGCGTAACCAGCTGGGAACTCAGCGAAGACGCCGGTGACGCGGACGACAACGACGAAGAGTTGAAGAAGCGGACCGAGACCGAGCGTGTTAAGTACGAACAAGTACTTGAACACATGAAGCTGGTGCCAAGAGCGCGAGTGTGCAGCATGAGCGAAGACCATGATAACGCATGCGCCAAGTCGCACTCTCGACTGGAAGCGCTCGCATTCAACCCACTCGCGTTGATACTCAAGTGCCCGATTCCTCCAGACGAGGAGCATCTGGCGCAGTGCGTATTTGACCACAACATGGGACCCGTTCCGAAAGGTTTTGTCAAAGATAAAAAGCTCCTCTGCGAAGAGCTGGACGCGTGTAGTAACGCAAACTGCGTCAAGTCGCATTCCATTGCTGAGGTTTGCTGGTTCAACCCAAAGTTCCGCGTGGCTGAGTGTCCGCAAGGCAGCGAATGCGCTCGCAAGCAAAACTGTGTTGGGTTCCATTCGGAACATTCGGAACGGAGGAATGCGCGAATGAACTCCCAAGTCGGAGCGACTGAGCGAGCATTGTTTGTTGAGCGCGTGTATGCGGCGCTAACCAAGCGGCGGCTCCAGGCTTCACATCACAACCTAGAGGCAGAACTGACTCTTGCCAACTCGGAAACATCTCACGACGACGAGCATGCGCCTGAAGTTGGATATGAACACGTTGACATGCCGAACTCGTTTGAGTTGTTGTGCAGTTCAAGCGATTGATTCGAGGTTTAAATCGATATCGTGCAGATAGCTCGGTAAGTTTAAACCTCGACAATCTAAACTTTTGAACTTGTTAATTTCTCAGTGATCTAAAGGAGCAGTTGCCCAATAGCAGCTTCCCGCCTTTCAGTTTTCTCGTCGACTTTTCCTGGTAAGCGCTACGACTACGAGTAGTACGATGCTTAACCCCTTGAGCTCGAGGACTTTTCAGCGCCCCCGTCCGACTAAACTGATTAAACCGTTTAATATGGATGCCTTCCAAAACAATAATTGATTCAAAACAAAATTTAACGAGTAGGTATAGCTGATTCAAAACGAGTAGGTCTTATTCTCCACCAATTTGTAAAAAAATCCACACTACGGAAAAAGGTTTGTCAATTGATTAAGACTTGGCGTTGCAAACAAATAGTATTCACAATTTTGGACAAGCAAATTAGCTCCTTGCTGAGCTGAAATACTGGTAGGCTTCCTAGAGATTCGTGTACATTTGTAGAGGATCATGTGCAGCGAGAACATAGCGGTACTTCATCGCTGAGCTCTTGCCTCATATCAATACCACAACTTTTACCCCTCCGGACTCCGGATCGGAGGGCGGTTTGGTGTATTAATGGTGTAGTAGCTCGAAACGAAAGCCTCAACCCGGCATGTACACGAAACCAGGGCGTTGACGATAGGACCGCCATGGCATATCCATTCGTGAGAATCGAATCGGACCGTTTTAATCGCGTGGCTGTCGATAAGATGACTAAGTACATATATTTTAACCACAAATTGGTAATTGTACTTCTAAGTATTTTTCTTACAAACTACTGTACTAGAAATCGATGTTTACCTGAATCCACATTCCGTAAAAGTGTCTACAGAGTTCCGAATAAAAAATGCACACCATTTTGGATCTCAGCTCATTTTACATTGGACGGGTGGCTCATCATTCACCTTCCCAAGGAGAATCTCAGTGCAGGCTCTCATCTTTAAGAATTGCGAATTGCATGTGGTGAAGTCGAGACCAGAAATGCTGTACTGTACATGTAGCGCGCCGGTGATTTAAATTCAACTGTCTTCATTCCTCTTTCGACCTCCTGGCTCACAGATAAACCACAATGAAGCTCTTGGCCCTTTGCACGATTGCTCTAAGCTGCTTGGTCTCCGTTCCAGCTGAGAAGCGAGTCTACGACGAAGTGGTTCCATTCCCTGAGGTTCTCCCAACAACGACTGAGAACAAGGTCGCACTAAAGTTCAAGCCTCAGCTACACATCAGCAGCGGATGTCACCCGTATCCGGCTGTCGACGCTGACGGTAACACCAACGCTGGTCTTGGAATCACAAAAGTTTTCACGTCGTGCGAAGGATCCCCTCAAGGCTCGCAAGTCTATGGCCGTATGACCGAATACGAAGGCGTCGTAGCAATCATGTACGCGTGGTACTTTCCCAGAGAATTCATGGTTTCGCCGGTGTGGGTGGGCCATCGCCACGACTGGGAGCACGCCATTGTGTGGCTGGACGGTCTCGGTACGCGTGCTGAGGTGCTCGCTGTGACGGTACAGCAATTGCTTGGCTACAAGACGTACAAGCCTCCGAAAGCTAAGCACATGGACGGCTCTAGCGCTAAGATCAAGTACACTTGGCTCATTCAAACTCAGCATTATCTGTCGGCTACCACGGAAGCGGGGGAGTTCCAAGATTTGATAATGTGGGAAAATATGACTGCGGCAGCTCAGGAGGCGCTGGAGGATACGAAATTCTTCTGGTCTTGGGCGCCCATAAACGAAGGACAATTTCAAGATAACATTGAAAAGGCGTACCCATTCAACTAAGGCTGCAAGTTAGTACTGTACATGTAAACGATTTTGTTTGTCATTAGGTTTTTTTAGAACGACATCAAACGAAATACACGTACAGACAATCCTCTTTGGAGTGGCATTTCTAGTAGTGATACCGGTACCCTCTTGCTCAGCAGGTTGGATCTCCCGTTGACAGGCAACATGCAACTCTCCAGATTGAACTACGTTGTGATCCAAAATCGATGAGTATTACTATCTAGAGGTCATTAACTTAAGATGGTACTCATTTGGTGATCTAAAGTCAGAAACGAGGAGAGAAGGAGTCAATTTACCTGTAGCTGTTATTTGGGCGAGGCCATTATGGCTGGCTTGCGTGCAGCATTTTTGGTGTCCCTCATGGGTATGACTTTAAAAACATTGTGAAATATAAATCTTATATAAATACTTAATGCATAGCTGTTCGTACTTGACAACATCCTTACCCCCCCCCCCAATCTCGGATAGGAAGAATATATAGGGGTAGCTGTCGGATACGATATGTGAGGCTGAATTGGTTGTGGCTTAGTTGCTGCGGTGACTGGATTCAACGATATTTACCACGACTAGACAGGGGAAGACGAGAGAAGACCGACATGTTACTGAGATGACGCATGGCGTGTCACCGGGCTCTCCGACCTTCTATCACTACGTAGGTTAGGGTAGCGCAGACTGTAGGACAGTTGGCGTAGAGCAATAGGAATAGAATGTAAGACACGTGAGTGCCGGGCAAAGTACCACGACAGGACCACGGAGTTCTGGTGCTTGCTGCCTCTCACTCGATGTGTGCGCGGCACAGCAAAGGTAGTTATGAGTGAGAGCTGTCAAGCTGTAACGGGGTACGTAGTCCTAAGTGTACCCTGGCTACATGAAGTGTGACACTTCACACTTCAGGTGTATGACACGTCATACTCCGGGATATTTGGTACAAAGGCCGTTCAAAGCCAGCCATTGGTCAAACGACATTGCATTTCTATAGGTAACTTATAGTATTAAACACAAACTTAACCTACCTATAAATATACTCAGTTTACAATCTACCTTATTTAGGTCACTTCGCTCTCTTTAATTAAAGAGGGGACCTGTGAACTGCCGTTCACTGAGAGTTTATATACTCTCTGAAGATAACTTCCTCTAGCGCAAGGTGCTGCGTGACCCCGTCACACTTGATAGCACTCGTAGTCAATCCACGCCACCGCGGGTAGACTACCTGAACCTCTCCGAAGTTCGTTGCCATGGATAGGAACGACTTCTCCCATATGAACGACTCTTAGTTCGAGTCGGTTCGGAAGATGGCAGGCATCTTCGGGATGGAGGCCCTGCATAGCCTGGTGGTGTCAACACCGGCTGAGCAGCTCGAGCGCGTCAATGCATTCGACGCGTACGAGCAGGGCCTCATCGCGCATGTGCGGGAGAACCTGCAGGCTCCGGCGGCGGAAGCAAATCCGCCTCACCCGAAGCCCAATACGGCTGAAGGTTAAGCCGTATGAAGGGAAGGAAGGCGAGAACCTTCACGTCTGGGTCCGAGAAGTAGAGCTCGCGATGGACGCGGCTCTGATCTCGACCGAGCAACTGCGTGCTGCTTTTGCACTCTCCAACCTTAGCGGCCGTGCTAAGAGTTGGGTGTACACACGGGAAGCAACATCCCCTGGATGTTTCACATCCTGGGCTCAGCTGTGCCAACAGCTCCGAGCCGCGTTCCTCCCGGCGAACTACGAGTACCGCCAGCGTTCGCGCTTACTCGCGTGTAAACAAGGAAGGCGCGAACTGCACGAGTATGTGCAAGAGATACGGGAGCTCACGGCGTCCCTAGTGGGAAAACCATTTAACGAACACATCAAGATGACTGTGTTCATGGACGGCCTTCGAGTGGGCCCCGCACGCACTCAGCTGTTCCGGGTGCAGGCAAGCACCCTTGAAGAGGCGATTCAAGTGGCTCTTCAAGAAGAATACAGCCATCGCCAGGCGCGTACGCCGGCCTCAGCGTGGCCTGGGAGTTCCTTGTCGGCTCCCGGTCGAACAAGCCCCAACGGACCAGTTCCCATGGAACTCGGGTCCGCCGAACAGCGTGACATCCGCTGCTTCGGCTGTGGGAAGATGGGCCACTTCAAGCGCGACTGTCCCTCGGAAAGACTCCGCAGACGGTCCTTCCCCAAGCCCGTCCTCAAGGGTCGCTGGCAGAAGCCAGGATCCCGGGGACAGGGGAACGCAGGGAACCAGTAGGGGCGGGGCGCCCTACTGGGGAAGAACTAAGTCTTCGTGATGGGTGCGCGGGTGGCGCGTACCACGGGGACTTAGCCCCTGAGAGTCTTCGCACTCTCGAATCGGCGAAGAGCAGCGGCGGGTTGCTCGTAGTACACGGATGTGTACGGGGGTACGATCACCCCTTTAGAATCTTGATTGACTCTGGGGCGTCGAAGAATTTCGCACGCCGCCAGACGGTTGCTCGTAACAGCAACAAGTTGTCCGATGCTTTGAGGGAAAGCGAGGGTAACGGGACGGTGTCAGTGCGACTGGCCGACGGGAAGGTCGTCACTGTCCCCAACGTCCAAGTTGTTCTGGCCGTCAAGTTTGAAGACTTTGACAGCCTCGAACAGCTCACTGTTCTCGATATGGGTCCATATGATATGATCCTGGGCATGCCCTGGCTTGAGAAGCACGAGCCCTGGATCGACTGGCGAGGCAAGGGAATCGGTGCCAGCCGCCCTGCGCAGTCCGACAGAGCATTGGTGAGTCATGTTCCCACCTCTGTCAGGACCCGGGGCGCCCGCAAGGGCTGCCAGGGTACCAAAGCATCTGGCAGATGCTTGGGAGTCGTCGACATATATGACGACTCCGAGGATGTTTTGATGGTGGCCGCGCCCAGAAGGGGCGCTGGCCAAGTGGGTAACTTAGGTCCACAGGCGGGTAACTTAGTTCCGCAGACAGCTGCAGCTGTCATGAACACTGAGAACAGCGTGTTCAGAGTGGGTAACAGAGCTCCACTCACGGTTGCCCAGACCTTAACTGAAGAGGAAGACGTCGGATACGCTTCCTGTGTGGGTAACACAGTGCCACACGCGGTCGCCCAGACCTTAACTGAAGAGGAAGGCGTTGAACACGCTTCCTGTGTGGGTAACACAGTGCCACACGCGGTCGCCCAGACCTTAACTGAAGAGGAAGGCGTTGAGCACGCTTCCTGTGTGGGTACCATAGTACCACACGAAGCCACGAGTGCCTCGGATGTCGTAGCGACGACACCCCTAAACGTGGTGAGCAAAGCCCCCCGTCACAGCCGCCGTCGGCAAAGACGCTGCCGCCGCCTCAAGTCGGATCCGAACTTCGTTCCGATCGACGTCGCTTCAAGCAACTCGGAGTCCAGGGCCCGGGCTCCTCCGACAAGGCCGGTGGAAGAGTGTTATCACAGCTTCGATGGCGAGACCGGTTTACCCGTCAAGGCATCTGGTGTCCACTTGGAACCGTTGCCAGAGGTTGCCGAGATACTGCACCTCGAGGAAATGACGGCTGAGTCTTTTCTGACCAACCTCAAGGCTGGAGAGATTGCTGAAATGGTACTCATGAGACCTGAGACCACTCAGGAGGAGCTGAACGCCTCCTCTGTCTTAGACGAGAACGTCCTGGAAGACATGAACAAGCAGCGTCAGGCGCGCTTGGGTTCTGAGATTCTCAAGAACCCCAAGGATCCGGTGTATCCTTTGGTGACGGAGTACGCGGACGTGGTGAACAAACACCCACCGACCCAACTCCCACCGGATCGAGGCGTACGGCACGAGATTGATCTCGTGCCCGGCACGAGATTGATCTCGTGCCCGGCACAAAGTATTGTGTCACGAGGCAATGGCCTCTCCCGCGCGAACAGTGCGAGGTCATTGATGCCTTCTTCGCCGCGAAAGCGAAGGCAGACATGGTGCGGGGGTCGAAATCGTCGCACTCGACGCCGACTTTCTGCGTTCGTAAGCCGAACGGAAAGTGGCGTCTGGTTCACGCTTATAACAAGCTGAACAACGCAACGGTGCCGGCCCAAACACCAATCCCACGAAAGGATGTGTTGTTGAACAACATGGCCGGGAGCGTACTGTACAGTGCGCTGGATTTGGTAGACGGATACTACCGAATCCTGATGCGAGAGAGCGTCATCCCGCTCACCGCGGTAAGCACTCCAAGCGGTATGCTTTGGGAGTGGCTCGTCATGTCGCAGGGCTTGTCTAACACCCCGGCGACGTTCAATCGCCTGCTGACGCAATTGTTCCGCCCTTTGCGTACCTTCGTACAGACGTACTTCGACGACATATTCGTCCATAGCCGTGCCGAGGGAGGCAAGACGGCCATGGAGGTGTATCTAGGACACCTCCATCGAGTGCTGGACGTAATGCGAGCGAACAAGCTCTACGCCAACATCGACAAGTGCGTTTTCGCGTCACCAGAGATTAAAGCTCTCGGTTGCTTCGTAAGCAACGTGGGCGTTCGGGCTGACCCAGACAAGGTCAAGGCCATAGCAGCATGGCCGACGCCCCGATCCAAGAAGGATCTTCGAAAGTGGTTGGGCTTAACCAACTACCTTCACAAGTACAGCGCAGGGTACGCGGGCTTCGCTAAGCCCTTGTCGAGTCTCCTTCAGAGGGACGTCGACTGGCGCTGGGAGCAAGAGCACCAGGATGCTTTTGACAGCATCAAGGCCAGTCTCCAAGCGGCCCCTGTCTTGGCCCTGCCGGACGAGACGAAGCCGTTTAGCGTCGTCTGCGATGCCTCCGATTACGCCATCGGATGTGCATTTCTGTAGGCCGACACGGCTGGACACGAACGATTCATCTCGTTCTAGTCAAGGCGGCTCAAAGCCGCCGAGCGGAACTACCCTGTCCATGACAAGGAGCTCCTGGGAATGAAATATGCCCTTGTGAAGTTCCGTGTTCACCTTCTGGGCTCTAGGCCCTTTGTGATCTACACAGACCACGCGTCCTTGAGGACGGCGACTAACTCGCCTCACCTCTCCCAAAGGA